AGAGAGAGAGAGAGAGAGAGAGAGAGAGAGAGAGAGAGAGAGAGAGAGAGAGAGAGAGAGAGAGAGAGAGAGAGAGAGAGAGAGAGAGAGAGAGAGAGAGAGAGAGAGAGAGAGAGAGAGAGAGAGAGAGAGAGAGAGAGAGAGAGAGAGAGAGAGAGAGAGAGAGAGAGAGAGAGAGAGAGAGAGAGAGAGAGAGAGAGAGAGAGAGAGAGAGAGAGAGAGAGAGAGAGAGAGAGAGAGAGAGAGAGAGAGAGAGAGAGAGAGAGAGAGAGAGAGAGAGAGAGAGAGAGAGAGAGAGAGAGAGAGAGAGAGAGAGAGAGAGAGAGAGAGAGAGAGAGAGAGAGAGAGAGAGAGAGAGAGAGAGAGAGAGAGAGAGAGAGAGAGAGAGAGAGAGAGAGAGAGAGAGAGAGAGAGAGAGAGAGAGAGAGAGAGAGAGAGAGAGAGAGAGAGAGAGAGAGAGAGAGAGAGAGAGAGAGAGAGAGAGAGAGAGAGAGAGAGAGAGAGAGAGAGAGAGAGAGAGAGAGAGAGAGAGAGAGAGAGAGAGAGAGAGAGAGAGAGAGAGAGAGAGAGAATCGTAATTGAATGAACACAGTTACATATAATTAAATATAAGATACAGCTTCTCTCTCTGTTATGTCTACGTTGGATTTCCCATACAATCGCAAATTTCTGAGCAGGTCGGAGAGCAGAACGATACTCTCTGTTACAACTTGGCGATGCTGTCGTGAATCCACGCTGCGGGAGGCAGTGACGTGTCGAGAGTGGGGGCGTCTAGCTGACTGGCCGCGCTCAGCGAAACTGTCTCGGCGTTTGCTTTGACAGTGGTATAACAACCTTCGTGAGAGTCGTGCGACGCCGCGCCGTTCGTCTCAGAATTGACGAGAGCTGTATCATATTTTCGAAAAATCGATCGCCGCGTCTCGTCACCAGCGGGCGATTTGCATCCTCTCATTCGCCGCTACTCATTCGAAAGTTTACGCGGTGTAGCAACGCGCCTCTCTTGAATCAGCCCTCTTCATCGCGCGTCAAAGAGGATCAATCGAATTAGAATCAATTGAAGTCAATCGAATTAAAGTCATTCTCGTTGAAATTTGAAGAGATACCTTTTCCGAAACTTTTCTTTCTTTTTGAAGAGAAAATAGTCGCAAAAGTGCAAGATTTATTACTGCGAACGACTAATACAAATTCTCTCCTTTGCGAGAGTGAAGCAATGAATTGATTTGATCGATGAGATCAACGACTACAATCACGTTTTCGTTTGAATAAACATTAAAGAGGAGATAGCATCAACTGTTTTTCTTGCTACAGACACAAGGGCACTATTATTACGATAGTTTACAGGCGCGTTGTGTGTGGTCTGTGCGTGTGATAAACGTTATCTACGTGCGATACAAAATCCTTTCGAGACTAAAAGGCGAGAGTTATCCTTTTCGGGAAATGTCGGTGGTGGTTCCTATCCTGTCCGGAAGCGCATATTAATCGCCTAAGGAGAACAATGTTGACGGCGCTCCTCTGTGGCTCCTCGTAAAAGGGCATCTCATCGTGCCCATCCGTTTAATAATTCGATCGTTAAGTGATGTCACGACTCGTTCCGTTTCGTTAAAAGGTAAACCAATTTTTTTCATAAGCTGTATATATTTTGCGCACAAATATTTTAGAATTTTCTGTTTGGAACAAATATTTAAATTGTAAATATTATGATATTATGATAATATTATGATATTAGGACACGCACGGTAATTTTATATGATTCAGAGAAAAATAGTCATATGCGGATATAATATTATATATAAACATGTAAATTACTCAATATATAAATTATTCGACAAATTTTAATTATATTACCTCAGATGTCTTTACTAATATTTTCTTAATTTGCTTATAGAAATATAGAAAAGTATATTTAGCTGTGTGAACCTAAAATTGAAATATTGAATTAATATCAATCGAGATCTATGTTTAAAATTTTCTTTCTTTTTTTCTATACATTATTATGTATTCAATTAAAATACGGATTACACATTTACCGTTCCGTTTTTATCACAGTTACTTTTATAAACCCAGTTTCAATTTTAATCTTAGGAAAAACAGGAAATAATGCATCTTATTTATTTCATGATAAACAGCTATAAATATAATGCGTATTATACACTTAATCCACATACGCGTAATTGAAACAATAATTATATTGATATTATCATAAAAAGCTACTTCCGTATGTAGATATAACACGAACAAAATCGTTCAATGCCAAACGACGTAATAATAAATACAGGAAATGATTCACGAACTTGAAATTGTACCCCTGAATAGCAATCAACATATTACTCGATAATCTTCGCTTGAATGATTTGCACACGAGAGGATTTACTTGATGACAAATCTTTCCTCAATTCTACAATCTTTGCACACTCAACGATTTACAAAATCCGTATGTGTAACGAACTTTCGTGGAATTAATTTTCACATAGTGATAAATTTTAACACGTTTGCTCAGACATGCGAGGGATAAAGCACGAAAGCGAAATAGGTCATTATACACGGTTTGGAATTGCAGATTTTAGCCTTATAACATACTATACAAAATTAATATATAATTACGAGAATAAATAATTTATTGGTAACAATTTGATACGTCAAATTAATATAGTGATCTGACGAAAAATTAGTTATCTAGAACGTAACTGCTTGAAAATGAGTGAAAGGATAATGCATCGCGAGAAATCGCATTGCGTTTAATTAATACAGTAGGTTGAGTAAACCGAAATTTATCTACATCGAGCTATTTATCACGTCCTTTGCGGCAAGCACTGCCACGATATCTCGACGAATTAATTTTCGCGCGAATGTAATGTGCACGCGCATTATACGATTCTCACATAATTAATATATCACTATCGATACACGAATGCTGGAATTTTTATTTTGTTTAAATAATCACGCTTATAATTGCCAATAGCATGAGAATTAGCGCGCGAAAACAGAACGCGAGTTTCATATCGAGTGGTAAATGTGATGATCTTCATTCTTTCAGAAGAGGAGTTTTTTATCATGCGATGAAAAAAATTGCGAAATTTTTAGAACGAACAAAATTATTCGAGTGAGATTGCGCATTTTTTAACGGTGCGATTTCATTTGTTAAAACAATTAACATCATCGAGGCGATGTCGAATAATTGGACGATCTTCCTGTTAGTTTGCTTTCCTGCGCCTGGGCTTGAACTTGGAAATTGCATTTGACACATAAAATGGTTTGTCAGCTGTAAATGTAATCATGATGTAATGACGGATGTCATATTTTTCTATTTGAAACACACGACATCTCTTGTTTCATTGTTCTTGTGTAGGCCTTATTATAATTTCGATTTAATCTATTTTGTTTGATTGAAACATTAACGGAAAATATAAAACTTGTCTAAAAATAAAAAGACTTTTATTTCTCTCTTTATAAATTTTTTCAATTCAGCAAAGAGCATTACAAATGGATATTGAAACATTTTATCAATTACGAGTCGGTTTTTTACTCTGCATATTATTGATCGGAAGTCGATAGTAAATTACTTAATACTATATCGGTTTTTGCTGTTAATTAGAGCGTGGACCCGCCTGTCGACAATTAACAAGTAGGTCATTCGATCGTCCACCAGGAACGCAAAAGGGAAAGCATAAGAGCAGATTCATCAGTTGCTGATAGCGTGTTTTATCGATCGGATGATATTATCGAAGATTTCTCATTGTATGTGTGCCTGGCGAAAATCGATTCTCCAAATTATCAAGCTCTCTAATTTTCCGCAGTAATTGAATTTATTGATAAAATCAAGAAAATTAAGAAAATTTATTTACAATTATGTTAAAACTAAAATATAGTATAATAAAAATCTAAAAGAATTTAGAATGTACCAAATAACTCGCAATTTTTACTTTTTTAATACTTCTACATTATTTTTTATAAAAAAACAAAATATAATTTATAAT